AGAACGACCAGGCGCCGGCTCCGGAGGGCGCGGGGCGCGTCGCCCCACCCGGGCCCCGGCGCGTGCTCCAGGCCGCGGCACGCCGGGCCTCGGGGCCGAGCGCGAACCCCGATCCACCAACCCCCCCCCACGGCCTTCCTGCTGCTCTCTGGCCATGATTTACGGCGCTGGCCTCTCGGTGTCCCCAGCCATAGAAAACAGAAAGCGTCTCGAAGCCCGCAGCCTGGGGAGGCCGAGGGTTGGTGCCTGGCACCGGGGGCCCCCCACGCCTCCCCTGCCCGCGCCTGCACGGGGAGCTGTGCGCCCCGCTTCCCGGTTGCACCTCTCCGGGTCGGACGAGCCCGAGGGGCAGGTGGGCTGAGGCGGGCCCCGGGCGCGGGGCTGCGGCCTCCAGGCGGCCGGGAGGTGGGCTGCCGTAGACGCAGCCGCGCTGGGGTCCCTCCGAGGGGCCCCGAGCTTGGCGCCTTCTCCTTTATGGTCAGACATGACGCGGGCGCCCCGACACCCGTGACTCCTGGTTTGCAGTCGGTGCCGACCTGCACCCTAGGCCGTTCGCTTTTTCTTCGTCGTCTCAGTTGTCCCCCGTCCCCCTTCCTGCCACCCGGTGCCCTCTCCAACCCCATCGCTAAGTTCGCGTGGGGTTGGGCCCGCGAGGAGGGCCTGGGCGCCCCCTCTCCGAGTGTGTCCCGTGGGCCCTGTGCAAGTTGGGGTGGTCCTTGAGGGGCGAGAGGGGCGGCGTTGGGAACTAGAATGTCGGTCACGCAGTGGATCCGACAGTGGTTCCCCCCCCCCGCTTGGCGGGGGAAGCCGGCGGCCCGCCCACTCCGGGCCCGGCTTCGCGCGTGGATCTGAGCCTTGGGAGCCTTCCGGGGTCGCAGAAGCCGTTTGTGTCGCCTCTTAGCCTGTGCGGATCTGGTGGCCAACAGTCTCACCACCCCTTGTATGTCCACAGGTAAAATGGAACTGCACGGGAAAGCCATAGAAGTTGAGCATTCGGTCCCCAAAAGGCAAAGGTGAGCTCATTGAATTCGTTTCTTCCTTCCCTCCCCCCACCCCCTCCACCCCCATTAACCAGAAGAAACTAGACTCAGCACAGCTGAGAACACTTCTTCCACTTCGTGGGGCTTGCCATGAGGGTCAGGTTGCTCCTCCTTTTCTTTTGCGTTGAGTGGTGCGTGTGTGTTGATTCTGGGGAAGGGCTGGGCTGTGGACCCTGCTGCAGGATTATTGTCCCCGGTTATAAAACGGTGGTCTAGGAAGCTCTCATGGCTACAGGATTGCTGCAGAGCTGGTCAAGTTGCCACAAGAGGAAGTCTCAAAGGGCAGGTTTTGGGAGTCTGCAGGATTTAAGAAACAGTGGATTATTCCCTCCCCACCCCCCACTCCCACCCTCCTCTCCCAGGTCCAGGGCAGGGAAAGCAGTGGACTCTGCCCTTCCCCTGTCTGGACCCTGCCCTTCCCTGTCTGGAGCTGGTTCACACTGTGGGTGCTTCTGTGAGGAAAGGAATTTGCCTTTTCCTCGTTCACTCGCCAGAGGGTATTGGAATATGAGCGTGAACTCCCTGGCTTCTCCAGGCCAGAAGTGCCTTTCAGTCACTCTAAAGTTATGCTGGCTTCTGCCAACACCGCCGTGGCCCACGGCTCCTCCCACCCCTTGGTATATTTGTGCTTGCAAATAACCACCAAGAGATGGTGAAGACCGGATGATTGGTGTTACTTCGGCAGCGGCATTTCTTTTCTCTCAGAGCATATGTAGTGTGTCACTTGACAAAATGTTTTCAGACTGTTCTAGCCACTGAAGTATTTTGGAGAAAAAAAATTTTTTTTTTTCTTCCCTAGCCCAGGCCAGCTCCAGGTCTTTGTAACTCGTAATTGGAATGGGGCTGGTCTTGCCAGTGGCAGCTGGGGTTGGCCCGTGGCCTTGTGGGTTTTGCAAGGTGGGGTTAGGGTTTCTGCCTTCCCATCCCCCAGCTCCCAACGAGGCCAAACAATAACCTCGAAGTTAATTCAAACCAGGGTTCTGTGTGTCTGGTTAAGGATTGGTGAGAATGTATGTTCTAAAAGTCCGGGAGGGTTTGCTCTGCAGAAATAGATGGCAGCAAAAATGTCATCTGTGTGCCTCTCTGCTTCTAGTTGAGCTCTCTTCCAGATAAAGTATTTTACAAATCAATCTTTCTGTCCCCGTTTGAATTTTTATGGGTTTTTCTTTATGTACTTAATTTTGCTTAGAGCACTTGGAAATATATTCAAATGGCCTGATTTGGTTTTAGTCGGGGTTTTTGGTAGGGATCAAGTTATTTCATTTTGAAGAATGCACTATTTTTTTGAGCTCCTAAAATAATGTGTACTGAAAAGTATAAAATTACAAATTGATCTTAGTTCCACAGGAATTTCAGGATGAAAGGGGAAGTAAGTTCTAGCTTCTTAAAATGAAGTTTAAAGGCATAGTCTGAATTGACTACCTTGGGAGGAAAAGCATTCTGTAAATTCTAATTACTTTCATCTCTAAACAGAGTGTCTTAGTTTTCATCATTTTCATTTGTTTCTTTGAAAATTCTGTACTGGGAATCAGTTAGCTTCAGACATGCCATGGAAATATTCTACCACTGAGCTAAATTCCTAGTCCTTAGTTTTCATCAAATGTTGAATTAAAAATAATCAAATGATCATATGTGAAGGACTGACACTCAGAATTTGTGAGTTTCTAACTATAAAACAGCTATTAGGGTCAATTTATCAACCTGCCTGTAATTTGCCTTACTAGCTGTCTTTCCTTTCTAAACTGGTTAATTTCTCCCCATGTGTAGTCTATTAAATTAGAAACATTGTTTAGTGACAACTGTTTATTCTTTTTTGTATGCCAGTCCAGGGGCTTGAACTCAGAGTCTGGGCATTGTCCCTAAGTTTTTATTCATCAAGGATAGCACTGTACTACTTGAGTCACAGTCCCATTTTAGGTTTTTGGCAGTTAATTGGAGATGAGAGTCTCATGGGCTTTCCTGCTTGGGCTAGCTTTGAACCTCGTTCCTCAGGTCTTAGCCCTTTGAGTAGTTAGGATTATACACGAGAGCCACTGGTGCTTGGTGCCTAATTTATTCTTAAATGCTTTTTCCCCCAGCCTAAAACCTACTTTGTCATGAACAGGAGTTCATTTGTATAGCATGGAAGGCAAAACCATTTCCAGTGGCAGCAAACATTTATTATTGCAAGCATCTTCAGTTTATTAACAGTGAAGATTGAATTTTCAAGCTCATTGTTTCATTAGCATTTAATCCAGTGCTTAGGATTTTAAAAAGCATTTTACTAGCTATATAAACAGGACCAAGTACATTGAGGACTTTGTTTTTATAATTTGGAAGAACAATTGAGTACTATAAATCCTATCCTTGAACTGTAATGTCTTAAAACAAAAGTAGATCCTTTAATCTACCCAGAGAAACTTACTGGAAAATCTAGGTTAGTTTTAAAGTGAGTTATGATGCAGTTTTCCAATCTGGACTGCTTCACCACTTGCATAGGCTCAAGAATAGGACCAAAAAGGTACCCTTGATAACCACATTCCACATGCCTCTGGCAAGGTTGGCATCAGAGCTGGGCGCCTGTGGCTCACGCTTGTAATCCTAGCTATTCAGGAGGCTGAGATCTGAGGATCACGGCTCAAAGCCAGTCTTGGCAAGAAAGTCCATGAGACTCTTATCTCTAATTAACTACTAAAAAACCGGAACTGGCGCTGTGGCTCAAATGGTAGAGTGCTTGTCTTGAGCTGAAGAGCTCAGGGATAGTGTCCATGCCCAGAGTTCAAGCCTTGCAATTGACAAGAAAAAAAAAAAAAGAGTTGGCATTGGGGGCTATCAATGGCTCATTTCTATAATCGTAGTAACTGAGGAGGCTGAGCTCTGAGGATCAAGGTTCAGAGCCTGCTGGAGTAGAAAAGACCATAAGACTCTTAGGTCCAATTAACCAGCCAATAGCCCAATCTGGAGGCATGATGGCTCAATGGAAAAGTTTTACCTATAGGCAACTATGGAGTCTTTGAGGTCCAGAGTTCAAGCCCTAGTACCTGTGTGTATGTGTGTGTGTGTGCGCGCGTGTGTGCGCGCACACACAAGGAAAAGAAAAGACATCGTGGGAACTGCTTTAGTAAGGAGTTTATTATGATAGATCAGTCAGATCACTTGATTGTCAAGGTAACCTTCTGGATTTGAGGTGGGGATCTTTACCTTAAATTGTCATTGCAATCCCCATCATCTTGTGGGTTTCTTCTGATGCAGGCGTACCCACTTGAGCAACATTGACCTTTATACCTGCTGCGCAAGGCATGTTGGGAACCTGGTGTTGGTTGGAGAATGCTTATGGCAGTACTCTTGAGATGGTTGAATGGGCTTGCACTAACTAAATGGAGAGCAGTCCTGGGAGGTGATTAGATACTTTGTAGGCTTGCCTAGCTCTGACTACAAGGAGAGAGCTGGGTGGGGAAACCCTTTTAGGGAGGGGTTTTGTTGAATTGGGTTCAGACCTAGCTTAGCTCCCCATTACTATAGTCTCAAGGGAATGTGGAAGGAATGTGGCTTTTCTGCATTCAGATATCTCTGAGTTGGAGAAGATTATTGTAGTAAGGCCCCTGAGCTTGAAGTCTTCTACAAACTGAATGAAGAGGGGATTCTTAGTTGTGATGCTATGGCATTTTGCCTTCCAAGTGTAAAAGATACAGCATTGAAAGTTTTCAGTGACTTCAAGATACAGACTTGTTTTTGGGATAAAGGTGAGTGAGGACATAGTATGATTTTGAAAGATCCTGGTTGATTCTAGAAGGGTCGCTGGTTGGGACTGTGAGCCCCTATGTAATTAATGTAAATTGCACTGGTGTTCTTTTATTAAGCTGTGAGCTTTGGAGCATTGGTGAGGGAATGGCAAAGTTGGCCATGGGGGATTTGGGGAGACTGGGAGGGTGGTGGTTTTGGTTAAATTTCTATGACCTCTTCAAATTCTGAAAAAAAAAATTCAGTATTCAGTTTTTAGACCCTAACCATTTAAAAAAATTGAACTGGCTCCTAAGATTTAGCTGGTGGTCATGATTATATGTTGCTGGAAATACATTTGAATAAAGGAAAAAATGGTAGACCATCATAGTTACTATCTTTCCAAGAAGGATCCTTTCTAAACAGCCAGAGCTCAAATATCCTTGTTTTCTACATTTTTACATTATTAAATGATATTAACTAGTTTTAAGTTTCAACTACTAAACAGCACTTCGGCGAAAAGTCCTTGTGTTCTGTTTCATTGAAAAAAGAAGGTACAACTTGTTTTCCTATTAGAATTTTGTATTTACCACTGCTGAATGTAGCATCATAAAAGTCACTGGAGTTTTAAATGTATCTTTAAGTGGCTATTTAAAAGCTAGTGCTACATTTTAATAGCTGTTAAGTATAGAATAGGATGGTGTCCTGACCAGCAAAATACCCATTAACCAGGGCTTATGACCCCCCTCACTATGGGGCCAACTTTAAAGTCTTAGGATATTAGAAGCTATTTTCAATGCTGAACATAAACACAGGTTTGAATAGCAAGGCTGCTCCTTATCAGTGTGGTCATGGTGAACTTTATAGTCAGGAAGGGTCTCACACATGCAGATACTTTAGGTTAGTAATATTAGCAAACTTTCTTCCTTTACAAGCAGAATTATCTGAAGAGTCCATCACTTAAGATCGAAATGTGTGACTGCTTAAGTTGTTATTGCTGGGGGGATTTTTCTTGATTGCATATTTTCTCAATATAGTTAAAAGGATCCCTTGCTTCAGTCTTAATAGAATTTTTAGAAACTAAATGAATATGACTAAGTAGCTTCTACCTTGTGACTGGGCTATTCCCAGGAACCTAGTGAAAAATGTTAGGAGCCGTGACGTTTGTGTGGAACCAGTGGGAATCGAGAAACTTGGCTTCTGTTTCTGGCTTTCCTTTTGATTTGCGTGATCACTAACATTCTCTGTTGAGGTCACACATCACTATAATGCAC